CCACTCTCAACGCAACCTTCACCCACCGTCGCAACGTGTACCTCCTGACGTCCATCCTACATATAAGGCTACGACCAGCCATAGGGCTTGCTGGTGTATAGGATGACATTTGCTTTTGCTTGAAAAGACAACAACCGAGCGTTCGAATGTTAAGTTCTCTGTAAATTGTGGATTCTTACCTTTCCAAGGCCCTTCTTGGTAATCTCGGACGTTTGATAGGACATCCATAGCTGTGTCTTCACGTGTTGAATGAATGCATTGGTTTCGCCATACTGTATTGTAGCCGCTCCCATACCCTCTTCTTCCTTTTCGTCAAGCATCTGCTTTTTGGGGTCCTGATTGAGTGATAAGATTATTACGCTGAAACTAACATTTTGTAACGAAATGTAGTTAACAACCTTATTCTGGCACATTACGAATGCCGTCAGATCGAAATCGGCCTTATCCTTGTGATAGAGCTGAACGGCATTCTCCAATACTCCGAGATATCTGGAAGTACAAATTGTTAGAGGTTTGTTACAGTTTGTGTAGTGATGATGGTGTGTGGTCAGCGGGATGGGTTTGATGCGGAGCCAAACCCTCTTCCCGACATTTTCCGACCCATCCTGTTGGCCACGCCCCGTCGTTTGCAGCGAACAAGACTGTTCAAAGAATAACGCAACGCTACCAAAAAGTAAATAAAACAGCAAAAAATCAAGTAGGAAATGGAAAATATCAAAAACTGGATTGAAAGCAAAAGTAGCACGCTATCAGCATATTACCTTCCGCTAGTGATATGTTTGATTCGAAATAGCTGTTCCCAACCAATCAATGCTCCATGCCATTTCATTCGGATCAGTTCGATTCGCCACAAAGATCGAGCCTGATTGACTGCTTGACCACCTTCATATATAACCATGCTGAAAATTGGAAGCGAAATTGAAACTCGGGAATATTTCAATCGAAGTGATAGAGCAATTGAAATCCAACGTACACTACCACACCTTTAAAAACATCCTTCTATAGATAGATGCTGTATTATTCGCTGCGGACGCTAGGCGTTTCAGGGGGGGGGGTGGGTTTGGCATGGTGCCAGCCTGTTCTCCACCAGTTGCGGAAGATGGCAGGCGAACACAACTGGGAACCTGGCTGGCGCCGCTGCAAACCAAGCCCCCTGAAACACCCCAGCGTCCGTTGCGAACAAGACTATCATGCCCTCCTCAATAGGTAGGCTACTTAGGAGGGCATGATGGTTCTGAGTCTCCGGCCATAGGAGATGTGTTGTTGAGGTATCATGGACTGCTTGTATAACGCAAGACCTTGCTCTCTGATACCGTCCTGTGACGCATATCATGACTCTCTTGATGAAAAGGGAACCGTCAGGCGCATTGTCCAGCTGCGATGTCGGGAGGACTGAAGGGTACGTTAGGTATCCCTACACAGCAAAGTGATCTGACAACAGTTTAAGCTGGTGCCCGGTTGAGGTATGAGCGGCCATACCCAAGTATGCGGCTTGATGGGGTGACGGATAATTGGTACGACCAGCCTAATTTAGAGGTAGCTGGCACCCGGCAGAGAGGCAACTTTAATGAGGTGCGAAAACTTGGTGCCTAGCTGCGAAGTGACCTCATTAACGAGCGAGGGCTGACAGGTCATCTTGTTATCCACATGTTGACATAATAAGTGATAGATGATCAATAAAATGACGAGAGAGGTCAATGAAATACAGTGCGTAACAAAAGTATGTGGACACCTCAAATTTTGATTTTGCGAAGTTGCCTTTGGATTTTGCGATCTGAGACCATCACTGTTAGATTCCTCATAAGCGAAAGTATAGGAATGCACTACTTCTGAA